CATGGGTCTCCGAGCTGAGCGGCACAGCTGCCTGCTGCATGTAGTCATACTGCTCTGGGGAGGGGGAGAAGCGGGGTGAGAGAAGCAGCGGTGGCCCCCAGCCCTGCCCCACCACCTACCCATGGTCCCTGTGTCCTCACTGGCTGTGGTGTCATTCACGTCAGGCCGGCTGTTGGCCTGAAAGCCCGGCCCATTCCCGTAGAGGATGGACGTGTAGTTCTTCTTGTCAGAGGCTTTGCTGGGGGCCAGACCTCGGGGGGACACAGAGGAGGCAGGGGATCAACCAGGAAATCCACCTATCCCCCCTCCAGTTGCAGCCAGGGTGCCCTAAGATGGAGGAGCCACGCAGGGTGTAGCCACCGAAGGAGAAGACGTGCGAGTGGTCAGCGGTGACGACCGTGAGGGTCTGCTCCTCATCTGTCAAGGTGCCCGCCTTCTCGATGGCCTGGTCAAACTCCACCGCCTCTGTCAGTGCCTTGTGGGCTTGGCCGTCATGGTGCCCGTGGTCAATCCTGCCACCTGCAGATGGGCACTGGAGGAGCCACGCAGGGTGTAGCCACCGAAGGAGAAGACGTGCGAGTGGTCAGCGGTGACGACCGTGAGGGTCTGCTCCTCATCTGTCAAGGTGCCCGCCTTCTCGATGGCCTGGTCAAACTCCACCGCCTCTGTCAGTGCCTTGTGGGCTTGGCCGTCATGGTGCCCGTGGTCAATCCTGCCACCTGCAGATGGGCACCCGCCATGGGCTGGGGACCGACGGCAGCATGCCCAGCTCTCATCCCCACCCCGGGACGTGGGACCACCGTCTCTCCCACCCCAGGGGCACAAGCCTTGACTTACCTTCCACAAAGAGATAGAAGCCATTGGGGTTCCTGCTCAGGATGGTGATGGCTGCCTCCATCATCTCGGTCAGCGACGGGTCCAGGGTGGTGTTACGCAGCAGGTTGTACTTCATGTCCGCGGGTTCAAAGAGACCTGGGAGGGGACGTGTTGAGGACAGCCTCAGTGCCCGCACGCATCCTGGTGGCTGTTTGGTCCCAGCACACAGGATGCTCGTTACCCATCAAATAATCCACGCTGGGGTCGGCGGCAGCGGCCAGCATCTCTGTCCTGTTCCACACGTAGCGGGCACCCTGCGGGCAAATCCCACAGCCCTGTGCCAGGGGCCAGTAGGGAGGGGGTTGTCCCTGCCACGTCACCCACCTTCCGTGACTCCAGCCACATCTTGATGAGGTCATTCCCGTCCTCACGTATCCCGGCCTCCGATTGATGGGTAGGGTACTCAGGGTCCAGCGTCCCCACGGGGGTCATGTATTTCCGACCACCCCCCAGGATCACCTGGAAGGGACGAGATGGGTGCAGTGTTAGTGGGGATGCCTGGGGTGCTGTCTGCCCTCTCCCCCCCCTTCCGTGTGCCCGCTCACATTGATCTTGACGTTGTGGACCAGCTGCCAGGAGATGTCTTTGCAGCCCTGTCTGCGAGCGTCCGCGGGCATGCTGGCATCCGCGTACCAGTTGCGGTTCACCACGTGGGCGTAGGTCCCCGAGGGCGACGCGTGCTGCACCCGCGTCGTCGTCACGATGCCCACCGCCTTTCCTGCCGCACCCCCACCCGTCAGGCCCGACGAAGGGCAACAGGAGTACCCTGCCATCAAGCTCGTGGAAGGGGTAGCCCCCAGCGTGGCAGCCCTTGTCCCCGTGTTCCCCGTTACCGGCTTTGTGGGCTCGCTCCAGCACGGAGATCACCTCGTTGCCCGCCGTGGTGCTCGACTGGAGGGGGAGGGCGCGGCGGC